AAATTTCAATTGTTTGTATTTTGCCCAGATATTGTGATTTATTAAACGGCGATATTTTGCTTAAAAATAATCCCAAGTGCGAAAGATCAAGTCAAGTTTGACAAATCCCAAGATCGCAAAAATACGACTCCAATTTATTTTATAGTTGGTTGTTTATCACATATTTTATGTTATTTTAGAATAGTATTCTTTCATTTTAGTAATCCTAATAGTAATCTCGAACCAAACGTGAGTAACGATGAGCACAACTACATTATAACAACGGGGACGTTAAAATGCTCGCATCGGTCATGGATTGAATATTTTACGCAACAGAAATCTCGTTATTCGTTTTCTTAATCGCGAATAATGTGGCGCGAAAATTTCCTATTCCAATTTTGAACCACCTCCCTCTTAAGATTCCTGGCTGCGCTCCTGCTTATAAATAATGTCATATTTTATTTCCGCCTCTTTACCATATTTCGAGGCTATATTGTGGTCAGATTTCATCAAAGCTGTTATTGCTTCTTTGAACAGTTACAAAATTTTGAGTCAGTATTTTGAGGAGTTCGCGGAGCCCCTGGGTTTCTCTCGCGGAGCCCTGGGGCTCCTTACGAAGCTCTTTGAGAACCTATGGTCTAATGTTGTTGACCGATAGCACGGATTTGAATCGCAGGCGAATCACTGAAGCGTGAAATAGTTCCAATATGTGGTCTGCTGGACCGGTCCCAGTGGACATGTAATTATTCTTTATATTTAATCTTAGTCCTATTTTGGTGGATGTGCGGAACGTGTTATATTGATGAAATATATATTTTTAAACATAAAAAATAATGTAATTAAAACAGATTAGCTATTTTGGGGATTAGACATCGTAGATACTAAGAATTACATTCGTTTTTGGATTGTTTGGTTTTCAGGACTGGTACATATAGTCAAGTTGCAAAATTGCGAATATCCTCAAGTCATAGACACATTTCTGCCAAAGTCACAGTGCGACATTCTTACGTCATATAACTGCGCCATACAAATTAACTTAAATCCGGCTATGATCAAAAAATTGAATTATGGCAAATTATTGACTCTCAATGGCATAACAATATCATTAGGAAGTTTTTTACGTTTTTCTCAAAACTGCTAAAAATGACTTACGCAATTCGGTTATTAGCGTGACGATATGTGAAATAAAATGTAAAAGTTTTAGCTTATTAATCATTTGACTATTTCCGGCCCATGTGCAATCAGTGGGATTAGAAAAGTGAACAAGTTTGTTGCATATCCATTCAATTCATATTCGATGAGTGTTGTAGTTGATCTCTAATAGAATGGTAACATTTTTCCAACCAACGTCAAATAGAGTTTAGTTGTATTATGACTGGAATGTTTGAATTCAGTTCTTAAGAAAGGCATAATGTCTCGTAGAGCAGAAATTTTTTCGTTACTATTATTACTATTATACCTATTTATGCACATATTATAAATTACTTAAACTGCACAAAAGGGTGTAACACCAGCTAAGGATGTAGTTTTAGGCATCGTTGGGAAGAAATAAAGTGTTGCAAAATGGGCGAAGGGATGAATTAAACCATCCCACGCGAAAAAATGAAATGTGCCATTTGTACTAAATCCAACCGGAAACACCGAGGCCGGTAAAGTTTTGAAAATTTTTTTTTGAAATACTTGACCATGTTTATATCGTTAAAAACATTAAAAGTATCAAGAATCGCTAGTGAAAATGCCCTCGTTCACAATGAACCATTAGCCCGAAAGTACAAATAATGCAATTTTACGCACTTATGAACATGAGAACCAGTGTTTTTTTGTGGTACTCCCGTAGTATGTGAACCAAGATGGCGGACAGCGGAACGTAGTATGTGTACCAGGTCAGGGTTAGTCCATAATTTCAGGTAGAAATACTACGGGAGTCACTTGGCTAGTCCCCGAACTCGTAATAGAACTAAAATAAGCAAAATTGGAATCAAATTATAGCCTAACTCTAACCTGGTACACATACTATGTTCAGGTTCCGCCATCTTGGTTTACATACTACGGAAGCAAATTTTTTGTTTTATCAATTTACATTTATACGCGTGGGATGAGTTTTAAACTAAGATGGTTCATATCGGAATGAATGTCCTTGAAAGTTTTTTTGAAAATTTCCGATGAATTTGGTCGGTTTGTTTTACCTAATCAACAACATCCTCAATCCTCTCCATCTCAAGAACTTGACTGGAACGCGGAACCATACATTTGATTATGTATGATGCTGCACTCTTCGTCATCGCAGATTGATTCAAAAAACCGATTGTTGGTCGCAGATACTTCTGCCATTCAAGTCAATGAATTTGAATCCAAATATAGATGGCTTCATTGTAGGTCGGTTATGTATTCAAGATGCCATATAGAATTTCTTGCACCAATCCAACATATATGATAACTATACTCTTAGAGGTCACAAATTAGACTTTTTCACCCACATCTCTATTATGCCATCTTACTTGTAGGCTTCATGAAAATTTTTTATATTCTCTTATTTTTCAATTTGAATGCTTCGCAATGCTGCCTTAACGTGTACGAACGCTTAAAGTGGTGATTCTGCGTAGTTGTCCATATATTTGATAACTGTTTTTCTGTTTTGTCTATATTTTTGGTTTCATGTAAATTTGTAATTCCTCGTTTTGTTTATTTCATTCAAAATGAATGTTATAGTTAATGTCAGAGCCATTGTGTAGACCAGTATATTGAATGTTAATATGTTTGATAAGTTTTAAATATGCTTCAATCATAGTTTTATTTAATGCCTTTTAAAAACTGCCAAATGTAAAAAGTAGAAGGGATCATTTTGGGGTCCGTTGCTCCAGACGAAAATCTAAACTTAAACTTTAGCACTTTTTGTTTTTCAAAATTTTTTTTATTTGCTGCACTTTGAACACACAAAATATTCAGGCACTTTTAAACACATACATGTTGTATCAATATAAAAAAAAAACAGAGTACAATGCTCAAATATATGGGCACGAAAGTCAAAGGGATATAGTATCAAATCTTTTATAGTACAGTCTTTCACAGCCTTCCTTATCAAAAAACCACCGACTTCCATGACCACCAGATTTATGAATACGATTGCGGAACCGCCGCAAGGTGCGCAATTTTCAATTTTGATGGCGTCATCACACAAAACCTTCCAAGTGAAAAACGAATTCCATAATACCCATTTTAAAATAATTAATGTAATAGCATTCTAGCGACAACAACAATATTTAACCATTGAAACTTCATAGCAATCGGTACAGTATTTAAATAGAAAATCAACAACAATACAAGAGAGCTACGCCCAAATATATGGACACGTCTGTTCGCAGTACAGTACGCTTTACCGTACCGTCAGACACAGTCTACAAATATATTCACCCCAAGCGAAGCAGTACAGTAGGACACAAAATGGCGTCCGATGCACGCAGAACGCTCGGTGACGTCATAGCAAACACAAACAAATCTCACAGAGCTAACAGAAATATTTGAAATATATAAAAGTAACAGCCTTCTGGAGAAAAATTTAATCTTTAACCACTAAAAACTTCAAAGTAATTGGTCCAGTGATCAAAGAGAAAAGCGGATTTTTAATATTTCCACTAGGTGTCCAAAAACTGTCAAAGAACAATAAGAACAGGAACAAGAACAACATAACAACAAAACGATCCACATGTCCACTTCGTGTTGAAAACTCATGGTTTGGTATCTCGTTTGCAAGCGGCTACGGCCACATAATAAGTTCTCGATGCAGACTCTCTACCGGCATGCGGCGCTACACAACAATATTGAAGAACCATTAATTGTCACGCTTCTCCTTAACAAATTGTTGCGCTCGATTCTATGTAGCCTGGTTACTTCTCACGCACATTAAGAGATTGGAGACTTCAAAAACGCGTCCCAATACCCCAGTCCTGACCCCAAACCTATATCGGTTAATTGTTACAACTAGTCCGTGCTTTCAAGCAATTAAAGTCTGTAAACAGCGATTAAAGTGCCGCCAGATTCTTCTGTCCCTTTCAAATGCTGCCCCAATATAATTCAACTTGAAATCGGTGAATATCTTTAATAACAATCAACAGACACTTCAAATCAAATCTCGAACATGAATCAGGAAAATAGAACTTGCCGGGTTTCGGAAACGGAACGTTGTTAATGGAACGTAACGTAACTCTTGATACCGGGTATGAGGAACGTAAAGGAACGTTGTTAATGGAACGGTTTTCTGCCAAAATAATAGATGAAACTAAATAGCTTATATGGCACAATTAATCAAACATAACAGCATTACCATTTTTACAAGCAATAACAATTCACATCAATTAGCAGATAACCATATGTCACAATTATGTACAGATTAAATCACATAGGATAAAATAGTAATCACAATACTAAATTACAGAATGAATCATACAAGATAAAACAATATTTACATACCGAATGTTTAGGATCTCCAGGCAACTCAATTCAACAACTCATAATCCAAAGTAAATACAACTTAACTTATGTGACTAAATATAAAGAACAACAGTTATCATTCTATTTGGGCTATAATACAACCCTAACCTGTATCCCTACATTATATTACAACTCCAGTATAAACCGTTCGTTGATTTTAAACCCAATTAATAACTTCAATTCGAATCGTTTATCCTAACCGCAAATAGTAAACCCAATATTAAACACGATAAACAACTACTAGCGCAATAGATTACACTGGATACAAGACAGAAGGTGCCAACTCATCGAAGCAGCGTGGCGATAATTTAGAATTCCCGGGATTAATCGAGAAACAGGACTCTGTCGCAATAAGGCTGCGTCGATACGTTTGCAACGTCTGCGTAACAACGTAAAACGTTATCAACTTAGAAACACGTTATGATTCTCGCTAACATTCCCCGCCCCAGATATAGGAACGAAGAGAATACATCTTACAATTCAAAAAGAAAAAGTGAGAATCATCACAAATAAGTAATACAACTAACAATGAATTACTCATCAGCTCTCTGAATCATACAAAGTTTTGCTATTGGTCTTCTTAAAAACCCATGAGAAGTTTTGACAGTCACTTGTCTGACAGCTCCAAATTTGTCTGGTATAACTTCTATAATTCTGCCAGTCAGCCACTTCCCTCTTGATATTGTGTTGTCAACCAGTAGCACAAGATCATCGACTTTGAAATTGTCTTCCTTCTTCAACCATTTATGTCGAGCTTGTAGATTGACGAGTACTTCTCTGGACCATCTTATCCAGAATTGGTCAGCCAAATATTGTATTTGACGCCATCTTCTTCTCGCATAACAATCTTTCTTGTCAAATATTCCTGGTGGTAAATTTGCTTTATGCTTCAGCAACAATAAATGATTTGGTGAAAGTGGTTCTTCATCCAAAGGATCCATACTAATAGGTGTAAGTGGTCTTGAATTCAATTGACTTTCAACTTCACAAAATATAGTAGACAACGCTTCATCAGTAACCAATTGATCATGCAATAAAGCAGTCAATATCTTTCTTGCTGATCTGATGAGTCTTTCATAGAAACCTCCAAAGTGTGAAGCTGTGGGGAGGATTGAACTTGAATATGATATCACTTTGTCTGGCAAAATTCTCCCATTTTACTGGAATTCCAAATTTGAATTTCTTTCTTCAACACTTTATTTCCAGCTGTAAAATTGCTCCCATTATCACATATAATGGTTGACATCTTGCCTCTTCTGGCAATGAATCTTCTTAATCCATTAATAAATGAATTGACATCCATACTATGCACAATTTCCAAATGCACTGCTCTAGTTGTTGCACAGGTTATTATCAAGCCCCATCTCTTCACAGAACTTCTTCCTTGCTTCACCAACAACGGTCCGAAGTTGTCAACTCCAACACATGTGAATGGTGGTTGATCTGGTTGTCACACGCCTCTTTAGGTAGGTCAGCCATAAATTGCTTACCCATCGAAGCATTTCTCTTTTTGCAAAAAATGCAATTACGAATATTTCGCTTTACAACAACAGCTCCATTGATAATCCAGAACTTCCTGGTCTCAGCAAATTCCATGTATGACTTGCTCCACAATGATGTGAACTTTTATGGTATTCTCTGACAATCAACTGTGTGATATGATGGTTACTTGGCAGTATTATTGGATGTTTCAAATCAATTCTATGGGTGCGTTCTGCAATCTTCCACCCACTCTCAATATTCCTTCAATTAAAACAGGATTCAACTTTTGCATTGAAGGTGCAATTTTCAAATTTCTAAGCACACTTTTCCCTTGTACATCAGAATTTTGTAACTTTGCAATAACTTTATTCAACTCACGATTTTGTAAATACTTTATCAGCTCATTTTCGGATCTTCTCAACTCTTCTGTTTGCAATTCACCTTTTGAACAGTTGGTTTAGCTTGTAAATAAATTTTGAATCTGATAATCCATGCCGTAGCTTTCTTCAACTTATACCATGAAGAATAATAGTTGATAAACTTGTCCAAAGGTTCATTCTCTGTCACTAGATTCACTAGGACATTCATTGGCTTTTTCTGAATAAATTCCAATGGTAAATCTGGTAATTTAACTGGCATTTGTGGCCAGTTCTCTTCATTCTGGTAGAGAAATTCTGGTCCTTGTAACCATGATTTCTTTGCAATCAATTTCTTTGCTGTCATTCCACGGGATGCATAATCCGCTGGGTTCAATTCACTTGGAACATAACGCCATTGATGTGGCTCTGAACCTTCTTCAATTTTTGCTAATCGGTTAGCTATGAAAGTAGGAAATCTTTTCGACGAATTGTAAATTGATTGGATAGTAGCTGTGCTATCACTCCAGAATATAGACTTAACATTCTTCTCAAATTTTAATTGACGTCTTAAAAACATATCCACTCGCACACAAAGCGCAGCAGCTGTAATTTCCAGCCGTGGAAGTGAACATATTGTCTTGATAGGACACAATCTTGATTTTCCAAGTAAAAATGAACAGTGTATCTGACCGTTTTCATCTGATAACCTCAAATATGAAACTGATCCATAGGCAACTTGTGATGCATCGCCAAAATGATGTAATTCTTGTGAAACAATAACCCCAAATGAATTCGGTTTAATGTATCTTGGTAATTTGACTTCTGATAAGTCTGGAATTGCTTTAGTCCAGCTTTCCCATGCTATTTGTTCATTTTCTCCGATAGTTTCATCCCATCCCAATTGTTGACGACATAACTCTTGGAATATAAGTCTTGCTTGCAATATCACAGGTGATACAATACCCATGGGATCAAATACGGAACTAAGAATTGCTAGAACTCCTCTTTTCGTAGCAGGTTTTGTCTTCAGCTTTGTATTAAATCCAAAGCAATCTTCTATCACGAACCACACAACTCCCAAAACTCGTTCAACGATTTGGGTCTAAATTTACGTTTGCTTGAATTTGTGCTCTATCCTTTTCTGGAACACAAGAAATAATTTCTTCTGAATTACTCCTCCATTTGTTTAAATGAAAACCTCCACATTCAGTAAGTTCTGAGGTTTGCTTGACAATTCTCTTCCCTTCAGATATACTATCTGCTCCAAGTAGGAAGTCATCTATATATGAATTATCTTTAATATTGTCACTTATATCTGATGGAAAGTCTTTTCCAAAATCTTCTGCAGTTCTCCTTAAACAGTAATTTGCACAAAATGGACTTGATGTATTTCCAAAACAATGCACTAACATCTGATGATCGACAGGAGTTTTTGTCAAATCTCCATCAGGCCAAAATAGGAATCTCAATGCATCAACATCCCTAGGCGTTACACGAGCTTGTAAGAACATAGCTTCTATATCTGCAGTTATACCATATTTGTACATTCTGAAACGTAGCAAAACAGATAACAATCCATTTGCCATATCTGGACCTTGCAGTAATTGATCATTCAGTGATGTGTTCAAATATCTTGCACCTGCATCAAATACCAGGCGTACTTTACCAGGTTTCTGTTCTGATGTAACGGGTTGATGAGGAAGATACCACGCTTTACCAATGGGTGCTTCAAATTCAGCAGCAGGAATTTTCCTTGCCCATCCTTTCTTTATAAATTCAGCCATGGTACTGCAATATTTGTCCCTTAAAACATCATTCCTCAACAAGCGTTTTCCCAAATTGTTGGTTCTTCTCATAACTGCATCACGATTATTAGGAAATTCAGGACATCCGGTTTCCATGGTAACGGAGATTGGTAATGTCCATCCACCATCTTTATATTATCTTCCATCAGTTGTAATGCATACTTATCTTCTCTTGACAATGTTGGTGTGGGAGTCAATGATATATCTTTGAAATCCGTTTCCCACATCTCTCGAATTTGTTGTTGAAGATCTTCACTTTTCACTTCAACATGATTAACATGTACATGAAAACTTTCATTCCCAGAAGCTTTATTAAAGGCAGGCCCGACCAGTGACCAACCAAGAATACTTCTTTTTGCAACTGGTTCATTTGTAGTACCACGTCTTTCATCTTTACCCAGAATACTTCAGGTACATTCACGCCAATCATGAGCATCACTCTTTCATCTGGTAATTTTGGAAATTCAATACCCTCGAGATATTCATGCCTTTGTAATTCAATCCTTTTAGGTAATTTATTCGGTACTGTCGGAATTTCATCCACAGTGAGCACACAATGTAATGTCACACAACCTTCCCCTTTCAGTGGTTTAACAGTTAAGTCAAGAGCGAATCCATCTTGTTTCTGTGGATTCGGTGTGTCTACAGTAGTAATGGAATAACTCATTGGTTCACCCATCATCTCTAAAAGTTCCATCAATCTTTTTTTATCACATAGACAAGAGGTGCTTCCCTCGTCTAGAAACAGTTATACTTCAATTTTCTCTACCTTGAGGTGAGGATACTTTCACTGGAACTATTTCAAGGTATACTCCAGCTGAATTTCTGGTTAGTTCGTTAAGGTCGATCCCGATGTAGCAGGTTTGAGTAGGCGGAACTTGTACTTTGCTCTTTTTCGTTTGGTATCTGTAACATTTCGATGAAGCATTTCTATGATGTCTCCACCACATCCCTCTCCCAGTACATGCAGGATCTTTACGACATTGCCGTGCATATGACCATGTAAAACAGTTTCTGCAAAATATGAAATTCACGAATGGTAGCCTCGCGTTCACTTGCAGATTTTCTTTTCAACTCGGACAATGAATAAAGAAAATGATCTTTTGAACAGATTTACACATCTGTATCGATTTCTCATATATGTAGCCCCCCTTTTTCTTCGGTAATGTTCAGGTTTGCCAACACCCACTTGTTGAAGTGGATTTGCATAAATCTCTTCTTTGAGGGTGTTTAGGCCCTTTTCCCTCTCTTTATGACATCTCATAGCTTTGCCCATCGATTATTGTGGCGTAATTGCTGGCTTTCTTGACAAAATTTAAAAAGATGTTCAAATTTTAGTTCAATGTTTCATTCTCATAATCTGCTGCCTCTTCTTCCCATTTATTATGGTACTTCAGGGGTAATCTACATGAAAAGTTGAGCAATATTGTCAAAATTATTTAGATCTGAATATTGCTTCCAATGCGACAGCGTTAGGTAACATTCTTCCATTTTATGAGAAAGATCCAGAAGACTATCTCGATCATCTGGTTTCAACATTGGACCATGTATTAACTCTTCCATATAAGTTCTGGCAATCAACAATGGTCGTCCGTAAGCTTCTCTTAGAAGTCTCTTTGCTAAAGTCAATCCTTCTGTAGGAGAATATACAGAACATTGACGAATCAATTCTCTTGCTTTACCTTTGCAAAATTGTTGCAAGTAAGTAAGTCTCAGATTGTCATCTGAAATCTTGTTCTCAATATTTATCTTGAAACTATTCATGAATCTTGTATATTCTTCATGAGAACCATGAAACGAAAGTAATTCTGGTTTAGGTAAATCTACCATGTCACGCATTGTAGATGTCATAGTAGCAAGAATTGAGCCAACATCTTGTGGTGGCATATTATGTAATTCAACAGGACTCACCAAATTGACCTGTCTCATTTCACCTTGTCTAGGTTGAGATTGTTGATTAACGGGATTCAACTCTTCCGTAATCACTTCCTGAACCGGATCCAGGGTTAATCTAATTTGTGGCTCTCTAGGAGGCACAATACAATTGGTTTGACTCACTTGAGGTGTGTTTACTTCAGCCCGTGCTGCTTCACATTCTACCCAATTGTGCTATCGGTGGTCCAGAATCCATTTCTTGAAACTGAACCCTTTCATTGCGATTAGAGCCTATTTCCCACACTTCCGCCTCTACACATGCGGCTTGATATTCGTGTATAGCTTGTATTCGCCTTATTTCTCTCTCTGATGCTGATTTTAATTCTTCAGCTTGCCGTTTCTTTTCTTCGGCTTGCCGATTCATTTCTTCCGTATTTCGTTCAGCCTGTTCTAGCTCTGACAGTTGCTTCATTTTCAATTTTGCAAGTTCTCTGACAGCTATTGCCTCAGTTCTCTTGTAACTGGAACTTGTACTTTTGTAACTCGATGCTGTCCTTGCAGATCGAGGTCTTGACATATTTGATGATTTTCTACTATCTATAGATTGTGGTTTTGATGGAGGATTCTCAACGATTTGTGTGCTTTCTTGTCTGGAGAGCCACTCTTCAACATGTGCTTTGAACTCTTCATATCCATAACTTTCTCTCTGGAAAGATTCTTTAGCTACTCTTTGAGCCTCTTCATCTACTGGCAGTTCTGCAACATGTATTTCATAAGCTTTAGAATACTCCACAAACATTGCATCTATTTCTTTTACTTGGGAGTGTAGAATCTCCTTATTTCTTGGATTCAACATCAATTCTTCTGCTGATCTATACTGACCATTCAGATCAGCCAATAAACGTTCCAGTTCTTCTTGTGAAACTGGTTTTGCAGCCATTTCGACTTTTAAGTGACTTTCTTCACTCAATCTAGGATCAATTGAAAAGTTTGATATCTTTCAATTGCTGCTTACAATACTCTGGTTTGATTTCGAAATAGAAAACTTCAGTTTTCCTACATTCGAAAACTTTAATGTTGCGCTCGATTCTATGTAGCCTGGTTACTTCTCACGCACATTAAGAGATTGGAGACTTCAAAAACGCGTCCCAATACCCCAGTCCTGACCCCAAACCTATATCGGTTAATTGTTACAACTAGTCCGTGCTTTCAAGCAATTAAAGTCTGTAAACAGCGATTAAAGTGCCACCAGATTCTTCTGTGCCTTTCAAATGCTGCCCCAATATAATTCAACTTGAAATCGGTGAATATCTTTAATAACAATCAACAGACACTTCAAATCAAATCTCGAACATGAATCAGGAAAATAGAACTTGCCGGGTATCGGAAACGGAACGTTGTTAATGGAACGTAACGTAACTCTTGATACCGGGTATGAGGAACGTAAAGGAACGTTGTTAATGGAACGGTTTTCTGCCAAAATAATAGATAAAACTAAATAGCTTATATGGCACAATTAATCAAACATAACAGCATTACCATTTTTACAAGCAATAACAATTCACATCAATTAGCAGATAACCATATGTCACAATTATGTACAGATTAAATCACATAGGATAAAATAGTATTCACAATACTAAATTACAGAATGAATCATACAAGATAAAACAATATTTACATACCGAATGTTTAGGATCTCCAGGCAACTCAATTCAACAATTCATAATCCAAAGTAAATACAACTTAACTTATGTGACTAAATATAAAGAACAACAGTTATCATTCTAATTGGGCTATAATACAACCCTAACCTGTATCCCTACATTATATTACAACTCCAGTATAAACCGTTGATTTTAAACCCAATTAATAACTTCAATTCGAATCGTTTATCCTAACCGCAAATAGTAAACCCAATATTAAACACGATAAACAACTACTAGCGCAATAGATTACACTGGATACAAGACAGAAGGTGCCAACTCATCGAAGCAGCGTGGCGATAATTTAGAATTCCCGGGATTAATCGAGAAACAGGACTCTGTCGCAATAAGGCTGCGTCGATACGTTTGCAACGTCTGCGTAACAACGTAAAACGTTATCAACTTAGAAACACGTTATGATTCTCGCTAACACAAATGAATCAATCAATTTTAAAAATTGACGTGTGGTTCCTACGTCGTTAATTACCCTGATTATAGATGCATGAATGCAAAGCAATCAGTTAGGTTCACTTTTTGAGGCCTATTCTTCTAAATTCGTGATAAATTGTAAGATTAATAAT